CAACTGCGAGTGGGCCTTGCCGGCGTACTCCTGGAACTCCGGCAAGTTCCTCAGCCGGGACTTGAGTACCGGAGAAGCCAGCTTCTGTTTGCGTGAGATCCTGGCGAATGGTGGCATAGCCCCTTCCGAATGCTGGAAAGTCTCAAGCCACAGCTTGAAGAGTACTCTTTTGAGTTGGTGTTCGAAAAGCGCCAAGGTGACCTTTGAGGATCGACGCCTTCTTGGCCACCACGTGGACAGGAATGCTGCCTCTCCCTTGTGCTACTCGAGAGACGAATGTACTCGCCTGGCTGCCCTGGTGTACGGAGTGCTACACTTGATTCGCACGGGAGTTCTTGATCCAGACCTCCCAAGGGTGATGCGATTGAAGGCCCTTGTGGAGCAGGGCGAGACCTTGGATCGCCACACAGTGGTCGATCATGATGAGCCGGTCTCAGAGGTTGGCTCTGAGGATTGTGCCTCCGAAGACCTGGAGGACGAACTGGACGATCTAAGTTCCAATCTGCCTGGGTTGCCACCACCATCGGCCCAGGATGAAGAGGTTGTGAAGCATGTCCTTTCAGGCGTTTTGCATTTCAAAGTTTCCGGGGACCGCTTAAAGTGCGGAAGGCCCCTAAATTCCAATTATGTAGCACTGGAAGGAGAGCTCCTGCCAGATCTCCACCCGCAGTGCATCCAATGCTTAGGCAACGAAGCCTAAGGATCGTCCGAAGGACGAGTCATAGCGGCATCTGAGCCGTAACCGGACAGCAGGTCGGGCAAACATTCAGTGCCTCCGCCCGTCTGTTAGGTCACATGCATCAGTCGTTTCGACCTCAGCATGTTGATCAGTCGAAGGGTTGCGCATCAGTCTTGCAAGGCTCGACAGCAGCGCACCATTCAGCTTTGGCAGACATGAACATGCACTCATGCTCACACGTGTACATGTTCATGTCCCTGTCAGGTACCGCTCTCAGCACTTAGAGCTGCGCCATGGCCGGAGCCGGTTTGGAGTCAGAAGCTGTTCTGAGGGATAAAGCCAAAGCTTATGGCCTTCCGGAGGCCACCACTGCCCTTCTGGTTAATAATGGTGTCAACACACTGGGCAAGCTCGCTTTCGTGTCAGCATACCAACCAGGGATGGCAGATGAAGCTCCTCTTTTCACTGCGTTAGAAGAGGTGATGGGCCGCGGACCAACTGCTGCGGAGAAGCCCATCTTGCGAAGGCTTTATTTTGAAGCAAATACAGTGTGCCTCGCAGACATGCGCGCGCGCATCGAACGCACGGATGCCTCTGAGCCACGCAAGCTCCCAATGGCCGAGCGGTCTTCCCGAGCTGAGTTGCAGAAAACCCGGCTCGAAGGGGTGGTTATGACTCTGGACAATGAGCCTTCTCATGCTCTCGTTGACCGCATCTTTCAGCAGCAGGATGATGGATGCATATCTTGGATCCCTTGGGGGCAGCTCACCTCTCGATCTCAAGAAGCGGTGCAAATCAAGAAGGTCATCAGCTTTGCCCTCGATGCCAGCGGGGGCCTCAAGGCGCGTGCCCAGGAGGACCACTTGGAGGCCCGCTTGGTAGGAGACGCTCGTCTTCGTCAGGCATTGCAGAGGAGAGCCTTGGCCTACGATTTATCGAGGATGATCGACTACAAGACCCTCGAGACCTGGACCGAAACTTTGTTTGCCGAAATGATGCGAGATCCCCCAAAGGGCTACCGAACTGTCACTGTTCAGCAGGTGCAAGAGGCAGACAAACGCCTTTGGCAGCTGGTGAGTGAGCAGACGCGTGGCAATGTCAGCATGCAAGCCGACAACAGCAAGCCGGTCGACGCCGCCATCAAGCTGTACATGGAGCGCACAGAAGTGCGGTTGCTCTTGCAGCCACTTCCTGCCGCATCGGTTTCAGTAGAGCCTCCTCCGAAGCCTGACCCAAACCACCCTAAGCGCCCTGACCCTCCTGGCAAAGGTAATCCCAAGAAGAAGCAACGTTTTGACCAAGCCCTACCTGAGGGGTGTTCGGCCTTCACCGATGCTAACAAGCCTTGCTGCCGCAACTTCAATACCAAGGGATGCGCCTTTGCCAAGCCAGGGAAGAGATGTAAGTTTGGGTTTCATGTGTGCTGGAAGAAAGGGTGCAACAGACCTTTCCCCTACAGTGAGTGCAAACATGCCTGACAGGCGACGGGGGCACAGCCTTTTCCTGTGCCTCCCTCAGACGTTCCGATCAACATGCATGCAAGCCCCTCTGCCTCTGCTGCCGAAGTTGCATTAGGGTACGCAGATTGGGGCCCGCTGGACGTGCCCGAAAGCTCCTCACACCCTGCTGAGCTTCAGGCCTACAGCTTAATCAATAAGTC